TGTACAGCTATGAAAATGAATTCACCAAAAAAGTCTCTTCGCTGAACTACTGGTCTTCTGTCTATTATCTTTCTTCCCCTGTTGCCTGTACTATCCCCATTGTTGTGTTTATGAGTAACACATTATGAGCTGCATAATGTGTTCGTTTGACTGCTTACTCCAAGAGACTTTTTAACAAGTGAGTAATGTTATGTTCCTTATAAGGTATTTCTGATATTTGGATAGTGTTACTAGAAGACGGAGACTATCTGAAAAACAGTGTGATGTATTTGGGCAATACATTTTGAACAATCTGATCCCTCATACCTTTAATTGTCAATAAACAAAATAAAGGTCAATTAAAGTAGACAAAGTGACAGAAAAGGATTTAAGAATAATTAGCACAACATTTGGTTATCCAATCAGATGAGGATTACCAAGGTAGGTGGGTTAAAAGTGATACTAAACTGTTTATGAATAGCATTATCAAAAGATAGATGAGCGAACACTATTGTTGTTTTCAATTAGATCTTCTTCAGGCTTTACTCTAATTTACATAGATTTATATATAAAAAATTTTAACCAATGACGGTGATTTTGTGGATCAAATAATAATAATAATGTGGTAAATGTTTTGAACGTAGTTAATAACGATGATTATAATGATAACAAAATATTGATAATAAGGTTTATGCAGGTGGCGATAAGAATAACGAAGGTGTGTATGTAGACAATTCAATAAATGAATCAGGTCAAATCTTAAAAGTTGCGTGATTATGAAGGTGAAGTGGACAGATATAATCAGAGTTCAAATAAATATCATAAAAGTACGAAGAAAATGGAAAATAAGAAAGGGTGGAATGGTTTCGATTAGAATTCACGTCGGCCAAGAGAGAGACAAAGGTAGAACAGACGTCTTTTGTTGCATACAAAGACTAGGATTGTTCTCTCAAATTAATTCCCATAGCTTCGGCTATGTATAAAAGGCAGGTTCGAATTCTATGCGAAAGGCTCGATGGAATGTGATAGATAACCTTGAAGGCACTATTTCTGTCCCCTTGGTGACCACTATCAATCAAATGAACCAAAATAGAACTTCTTATAGATTTTATCTGGCCTTTTCCGAGCAATCCTCAGTAATGCGTTTGTTAAGCTGTCTAGTTGTTCGCTTTATATAGCTCTCTCCACAGGAGCAACTAAATTTGCAGTTACGCAGAGAATTGGAACAGCTAGGTAGCTTGTCTTTCACTTGGGCAACTATAATTGGTCGACTGGAAAATGACAAACAAATGGTGGTGGCGACAGTACACGTTCGTTTTATTGCTCTCGATAATCTCAGATGTAAGACTTCACTAGCCACGTCCCCATTAAACTGCAGTTTCATGAACAGTTGTTTCTTTTTAACTGTTGTCAGTTTCTTTTTAATGTAATGTGTCTTCTCACAAATCTACTAGGATAACTAATTTGGACCAGCATATTTTGGATGTATCCTAACTCATTTTGTAAGGAATCATCTGTACAGATACGTCTTGCTCTATTCGTGAGGCGTCTGACCAAATTGATTTTGTATCGGATTGGTAGAAAATTGAGGAAATGTGTATATTGTCTTACAGGTGTATATAGATTTCTATAGACATCTCTCTTGAGTGAACCATCCTCTCTTCTGTTCAATTGGACGTCAAGGAAGTGTAGTCTGCCATCATATTCTTCTTCACAAGTAAAGATGAGCGATGGATGTGCATCATTGAAATCTATTATCATTTCATTCTTGTTAGCTTTCACATCAAGAATAATAAACGTATCATCAACATAGCGAAAATAAGAATCAGTTTTATCTATTACTAGTTTAAATGGACCATTTTCAAATTTAGCAAGAAAGATTTCTGCCAAAATTGGCCCCCCAACTCTAATTCTAGGTTAGTTATCAAAAGGTGATGGAATCACTCTGGGGGATTAATCAAATACATCCTAAACTGTGTGTACAATAAACAAATAGACTTCAATCTTCCTTCGCCTACCATGGACTACTTGACCTATTTAAAAATATGATTGGTCATTAGTATGTACTTTTGTTTTATATAACTTAGTAATTGTCATGCGTCTTATTTGATTTTATTATTGTGAACCTACCATGTTAGTTGTAAAGCGGTTGTAAAGAAACTACGAAATGACGATATCATCTCGTGAAATTTGTCTTCTTAATGCCTCCTGATTCAAATTTATCATAGGGACTAAATTTTCTAATTTTCTCCAGTTTATATTTTTGATATGTGCTTTCATGAGTATTATTCACTTAATAATGACATCAACAGATTATCACTCACAAAAATTATAGGTCATATATTGGGTGAAATAGCTCTTTAGTATGTTGTTCTCACAATGTTCATGAGTTTATATGTATTTAACCGTAAGGAGAAATTGTAGAAATAAGAATGCTTGTAGAGGAGTATTCATCTGAGGAGTCCTTCGACCTCAGAATACTGCTTTTTTCGCAGTAGTTGTTTATTTTAAATTTTAATAACTGTTTCCATTTCGTTCTATGATGAGGAAGTCAAGGGTTTGAAAGAATCAGTCGGTGACCTGAGGTTCTAGTGGGAAGCTGTAACCAGTAGGGTACAGCAGGTTGAAGATGAGGCGGTAACTCATCGAAGAAGACATTGCGAAATGGTCGCGCTATGTCATAAAATGGCAGAAGTTAGAATTCAAGGACAATTTGATCGGGTCTCAGTGGCTTAATGGTCTACAAGCTCACCTTGTAACCGGAAGGTCCTGGGTTCGACCCCGGTGGGTGCCTACTGATGAAGAGTCCCAAACTAGGACGAAACAGTCGTCAAGTACTCCCAGGTTTTCCAATGGTTCTCTAAATGATGTCAGCTCATGATGAAATCTTCCATGCAATCAAACAAAAAACCCTACAAAACCAATACTTGAAAATAAACCTTTAAATGAATTTTTACTTCATGAATAAGATGTCCTAATTGATCATTGTAAAAGTTTTCAGTAAGGCATTGAATGTTTATGCTGTTTATTTCAATAAGAATTTCAACAAATTACCTAACGTAAAATGCAATTTCATTGATTACAATAGCTAGATTTATTATTATTCTTCAAAACTAGAAACCTACATATGCTTCTAAGTACTGGTTCAAATAAAGTTCCCCGTAGCCATGAACATTTATCGACAATATGATCCTACTATTCAACTAAAATCTCATATTTTTGAATCAGGATATTTTTTAGACATTATTATTAGACGTTAACTGGTGGATGGTGACTAGCAGTGGAATCCATCAGGATGCGCATTTCGTCCTACTTAAGACTCGTCACCACCCACCAATTAACTTCTCATTACATACCCAGACATCGTCGAAGCATCTCCACGAGAAGCCGACATGTCAACCTGAGACTCAGCACTTTGGTTCA